AATCTAAAACATCATAATCATTGTTAAATATTTTTTTCATCGAGAATATAGATAAAATACGATAAGTATTAGCTTAATCAACTTACGTCTTTGGGAATGGTGACTTGTGTACTGGTCTTGTTTCCGCTCATGTTGCCCTGGTTGCCTTGATTGTTTCCACCTATAGGTGGGCCACCACTCATCCCCAAGTTACCGCCGCCACCTAGGCCATTAGGCGCGCCTCCTTGCATACCCCATCCATCACCTGTGACAAAAGAAACATTAATGGACTCGTATTTCACTGGTATGCGCGGATTCTCAAATATATATGATATTTTGATGACATACGACGATTTAACGGAATATTCGTCATCCGTATCTTATCAGCATTTTAATCTCCAACGGTATTTTAATATTTTCTCTCGCGATTAAAAATATTTTTCTTCCCGAATCATCGGTTAAAACGCTAAAAATCAAGATGGTTCTTTGATCATCGCCGCGCGCTTCGACGGGTCATCAATAAAAAAGATTCCTCCTCACCATTGTAATTTCCGCTCGCGTAGGGTGGCGGTCCGCCTCGGTTTCCACCATATCCTCCACCGCCGGCGCGGCCGCCGTCGTAACCGCCTCCGCCACCGCTGTTGCCTACGCGGGAATTACCGCCGTATCCACGATCCGGCGGGCCACCGGACATTCCTCCTCCGCCGCTATTGCCGCGTGGACCGCCTCTCGCTGGCGGCGGAAAGCCGCGGTTCATGTCACCAGGACCGCTGCCGCGATTGTCGCGTCTGGGTGGCATTCCGCTGCCAGCGTTACCTCCGGCGCCAGCGCCATTGCCGCCGCCGCCGCCGCCGCCTCCACCGCCGGCACCGCGACCACCAGGCCCGCCGAATCCACCGACCTTGCCCTGATTACCATCGGCGCTGCCATAGCCGCCGTAATCGTCGGCGTAATAATCGTCAAAGTTGTGCGGGTCGTAAGGGTTGTTCACACCCTTCAATGGTGACTGGAAAATAAAAATGCGACGTTATTCTTCTTTCTTGGTAATCGATTATAGACATGCAAATAAAGCGAAAACGTTCCATAAAAACTTAGAGAAATTTTTTTTTTTTTTTTTTTTTTAAACGTTATCTCTAGATTAGAGTAACATGTATAAACGGAATATCGAGACACTTTGTATGCGTAGTACAAGGATACGAAACAAATCATTCGCGCCTAACAAAAAAAATCGCATTCGCTCGTACGTGCAGGATGTAGCGGATGTAACCGCTCGATTTATAGGAAAGTCATGATCTCTATACTTACTGTCTTAATGGTGGCGATCAATTCGCGTATGCATTCGATGCACGTCGTGGGTTTCCCACAGATGCTGATGAGGCGATCCGTGCTGCGGGGGCAGGTGTTGGAATAGATCTTGATCCTGGCTCCGGTTTTCTGGAACATAAAAGATATTCGAGCGCGTTAGACGACGTTGTACGACAGCCACTCAAGGATCGGGATAAATTCCGGAGAACTTTTCGCGTATCGATTTGCATCGAGAGGAGGGAATTGATACCGAGAACTTCCATCATTGTCGGAAAGTTGAAAGAATTCGAGTAGATAACGGTTTTACAATAAAGTTTACGCTTATTCTGGAATCTGGATGCGGATAACGCGCATATATCAAAGAATTCTTTTACATACGATTCTCTAGATTATGCTTGATTTATGCTTCCGTCTTTTCCGCCATTAATTGACAATTATGTGATCTCAGCTGATATAGTAATAGCTCAACGAGCTCGTCGCGCTCTTTTCTTTTAATTACACGCCAATGTAACGTGAATCGTGCGAATGCGATAACTCGAGTCTGTCTACTTTTTCGAGTCTACAACTCTCACTCACCCCCAGTTAACGATCTAACAATGCTCGAATGTTTTCGTCCTCGCTACGCTAATCTGCACCCCGTTCTTTTTGCCGCAGAGACTTCTAAGTAATACCTCGAGACGACAATGGTCAGATCGCGTGCTGATAGTCGCTTAACAGTCTACCTAACAGTAGAGACCACTTTCTCAGATCGTGAACACGCTACGTCGAGACGGCTAAGTGCAGCACGTCGGGTGATTCCTCAAATCTTTCTCCGGCTAGTTTCGACTTGTCGTCCGCGTCATAAAAAGTAAAAAGAAAAAAAAAGTCGGCGACCGTAAAACTTTCAAAGATAACGGGCGTTATCAAATGTTGCGTTGCCGTTACACGAAAGTACATTTATACAACCACGGGACGATGAAACCGATAGACAATGACGTACGTATATACAGGCTGGACATCCGGAGATGCGGCTTTGATGCGAATAACGCAAAAGCGAAAAATTGCCGATAATATCGACAGCTGTGTGCACAAACGCGAAATATCCAAAACAGATAACAATCTAGTTCGCGTGTATGTACACAAAGTGTGTCCGGCAACCATTGGTATTGTGCGGAGAAATCGCGCCGTTTAATTACGCAGATCAAAGCAATTCCCCCCCCCTCTCTCTCTCTCTCTCTTTCCTCCTACCTGAATCCCCTACCAATCTCGTACAGGTCCATTCAAACGATGTTTCCGATGCAGACGTTTGGTAACAGGGATGCCTGGATGCGGCGTTAATTCCGAAGTGATAGAGACTCGAGAGAAGGATATACGTATACATATATAAAGGTAGATGAAGAAAGAGAGAAAACAAATGCAATTTATACTCTGGCAGTTTAATCGTCTCAGTTTCACGAGGCAAGAAATTGCATGTGTTTTTTTTCGAGAAAGCGAAGGCAAGACAACATCCGCTTTATTTCAGTGAAAATAAAGATCGACGATATCTGATTGCTGGCGAATGAATGGCAAACGAGGAGAAATATCGCTCGGATATGCCTATAATTAGTCAATGGAATTTAAATGCTTAAGAGAAATAAAAAAAAGTCTTGTGATGTCACAAGATACAATAGTTTTTTATACAATAGTTTTTTGTCTCGAATTTTGTCGCTGTCGAGATTCGAAAAAAAAAATCGATAAAACTACATGCACCAATGTTTACGATACTCGCGCCTTCGGCGTATAAATATGATTTTAATCAAATTAATTAATTCAGACGATACGCGTGCATCAGCCAGATCAATCTCTCGGCGTGATAGAAATGGAAATAAATAGAGATCTTTACATGCGCGATAGAATCATTTAATGGATTGGTAAATTGATTGAATTGTATTTTCGCAGCATTATTCTTTGATAGGGTCACGTTTGCATTCCATTTCCTTTTTCATTTCAATTCGCGAGTATATCGTGACATTAAGTTTTCATTAACTAACCAGAAATGTATCTCTCGAGCTTACGAGTAATAAGAATCTTATTTATATACCGTAATGCCAAAGTAAGATTTATAAGGGAGGAGCTGGCAACGCAACTTTGATAATTAATTGACGAAGCTCGAGAGAAAGAAAAATAAAAGACGAAAATGAAAGCTTCTCGTTGTAGTGCTTCTTGACTCGCGTTTCTCGCGAACAAGGGGTCTCGGAGAATTTTCGAAAGAAACTTCCGCTCGCCTGGGGCCCGAACTTCCATCCTTTGACATTCGATATCGGTAGACTTGAAAAGAACAACGTGGATCGATTGTCCTTTGAAAGAGGCAATGTGTTGTAAATATAGCAACGTAAGTTATATCATTGAAGAGAGTGTGCGCTTCGAGAGATTTTGAGATTGCTTTTGTGTGACGGTAGGAGATTATCTTTCGGACGAACGCGTTACATGAACGATACATTGTACGCAAATACCGATAACACGAAACGTCTGACAGGAAATTCTCTATAATCGATCTCACGATTGTTCAGAAATGCGCTGTAGCTGTGTATAGATTTTCAATTTTCCAAGAGTTTCAGGACTTTCGAAACTTTCCGGGACAAAACGATCGCGGGACTTTCTCCGCGAGTTGAATTTTCTTGAATATTCAAGAGTCGAAGATAATTAATGGTTTCCCGAAGTTTCAAGGTCGCGAACTTGAAATAATGCCATCCCACGTACGTTAAACTTCGACATTTATATTTATACAGCATAATGAGAAAGCGCGCTAATTTTTAGAAAGATAACTTTTATATCACATTCATATTAAAATTCAAATTTAAAAAAATATATAAGAGAAAACTAATAAAACACATATTTGCATAAAATGTGCGAGTAGAGATAAGAAAATTTTTTACAGAAACGAAAATGAAGGATGCGGATAGTTTTAATAGGCTTATGGCAATTCGGCGCGAATACATCCGAAGGACTTCGAAGTCCTCGAAGTCCTGGCGGGATAACCATAGGGAAACACGGCTTTGTGAGAATAAGCTGCATTGCGCCCAAATACGCATTTGCTTAACAGTCCTCCGCCACAGTGGCATCCGTGGCAGAAGTCTGGAGTTTGCAAACTTCCACGGTATTACGAGCGGGGCGTGATGAACTAATCTAAACATGAATCGCTCTATTCAATTCAATGCGACGAACTTCTATCCCTGCGGTAAGTTGCCTGCCGCTAAAACTGCGCTTACCTAAACGCTAAACCCGTCAACAATATCGCTCGATACTAATTTCGACATTTGTGTCAACTATACGCAGCATACGAGTTAACGATCTCGGATATTATATTCGATATTCCTGTTCTACTTTATTTTTTTTTTTTTTTTTTTTGTATTTCCTGTCTGTGATCATTATTTATATGTTTTTCTTTAACGAAGAATTTTCATTCGTTGCTAATTGTCTCAGAGGCAAAACATATTTAAATGAAACACATTTAAATATAGATAGAAAATTTTGCAATTAATCTAATCATGAAAAGAGTCAAAAATAATATTCTAACTAAAATGGTTTTTGCAAGATGATAGTAAAATAATGATATATTTAATAACGTGAAAAAATTACGTTTCCATAAGAAGCAAGTATGCATATTCGACTATCGCGACATTATCATCTATTATGTGAATATTGCGGCATCATTATTGGTCGAATAAAGAATGTACCTAATGCATTTTCATGAGATCGTGCTGCTTACGTACGTGAATCTACACATCGATGCCGCAGAAATCGTCGGGAAAGAGAGCCATCCGTTGGCTTGATTACTATCACAGTGACTGCGCAGTGATATATTTCAACGTCCAAGACGTATACGAAAACGTGTCGCTATTATATCGCAACACAATCGTTTCTCTCGAGATTTCTTCCTTAGAATCAGGTGAGCTCCGATACAAATTCTTTATGTGACTGTGACCTATGTAAATATTGAAAACTCAGACGCGCGAACTCCATCTCGGGTTAAATGAAGCGAGACCCTCCGTTTTACAAATCGACGTAGCATCATCGCCAAAATATTGTAGAGTTCTAAACTTTCTCAATTGTTTTCGGTTGAATTGTTCAATATTCCACGGTTCGTACATCTAAATAAGTAGATTAAAATTTATATTCCTCAATATCGCAAACTGTGATAGACTAATCACAGAACTTTTGACGGATACTTTTATCCGCATACACTCAAACGAATAACAGCGATTAATATCATATTAATAAAAAGCAAGAGAATTGCAACGGCCTGCTCTACATGATAGAAATATGAACGAAGAGATAAAAATTATAAAATAAATAAGGCGCGACCGCTCGATATCGCGTGAGTGCGTGTTTTGTCGATAATATGTTTAATGCTAAAAAAAACATGCGTGAAAGTTAAGTACGAGAAACCCGTCTGCCGCCATCGACATCCGCGAGGTGAAAAGAAACGAAGCCACTGGCCGGAGCAGTGACTCCGCGAACGCGCGAGGAGACAAAGCGACGTAGCGCGACCCGGCCCGTCGAGAAACTCACCTTTGTCCGGCATACTCCGGCCTGTTTTCCCTTTCAAAGTGCCATTCAAAGCACACGATCCGATCAAGATCGCGGACGTCGAAATAGATCGCGCGCGCGCGCACGTGCGTTGTTCCAAGGTGAAGCAGAGCGAAGGAACTTTTATGTAAAAGTGATATTCTACGGTAAAAAGCAGTTCGATTATTACTCGAAAAAAACGCAGTTAAATGTAAAAAACAGAGTACAAGAGTATTTTTCATTGTCGAACTTTTTCATAAGTGTTTTTATTTTTCTTTGCAACCTTTTTCCTCAGCCTTGAACCACGATGAATAAATATACGATCGACGAAGTTGCTCTGCACGATCATAGTCAGGATCTGTGGATAATAATACATGGAAGTGTCTATAATCTCACGTCGTTCCTGACGGAACATCCTGGCGGCGAAGAGGTATTGCTGGGATTAGCAGGACAAGATGGAACAGAATGTTTCGATAGCATCGGTCATTCTGACGAGGCGAAACAACTTCGAGAAAAATATAAAATTGGAGAAGTAACGAATCAGGGAAGCGCAGTTCAATCGAAGACAACTAGTGCAGATGAACAGATAACAGGTTATTTTCTACTTCAATTGTATTCCTAATCATACAAAAATCTATAGATTTAATATCAGTATTTTATAGATAAAATATATCAGATTTTTGTTCTTAACGATTATTTATTAAATTGCCAGTTTTCTAAAAATGAATTTATATGTATTTATATTTTTGTCTGTATCTTCTCTCAAAAGAATATTTTGACGTGATTACGATAAAATGATAAATAATGTACGTTAACAATCCAACAACTGTTATAAAGACAGTTATTACAATAATTTTATTGCTGCCCTAATGAAAGTAATAGACATAAAAGTCGTTCGTCTCTCAATATCACTATGGTTTAAAAAATATTTTCTTCTTTAAGGAGATATAACAGAACCAAAGATAGACGACTACGACGACTCCGATCATCAGTATCAAGCACAAACGAAACAAAAGTCTTCGCTTCAAGGGTTCATTTACTCAATTGCTATCGCAATTTATGCTTTTATATTCTACTATTACTATCAAAATATGTAATTTGAAACGTTTCACGTGCTATGTACACAATACAGATAGTTAATTTTAGCAAAATTCTACGCAAAATGCAATGTTATATGAAATTTGTTCCATCAAAAATAAATTTGTTAGGCTTTTTAAATTTTGTTTCTCTTGTTTATTGTTAAGTTTTTCAAGTAATTTATTATCTTTATAGAGCGATATAAAACTGTATCTCTTAAACTCTGCGTTGAAAGAGATATGCGTTTATATTGCAAAGTTAAACAATTATTTTCGTGATACTCTGACGAAAGATCATTAAACTAAAATTATATAATTCGGATGAACATACTTGTGTGTCTGCTCATAATAATTTTACATATTAAAGTAGAAAGTTCCTTATTGCTGTGTTTCTATAATTAAATTTATACGTTATAATGTAACCTGTAACGAAGCGGCCGCTGAAAAAATATATTCGAACGGTTCGACAAAAATCCGATACATTTTATGTAACTCTTTTCATTTTAGTTTCTAATTTTGACACACGCTTATATAAGCAATATTTAAATTTATGTTTGAAATGTACGTCCTGGAAAAAAAATATTAGTATATTATCTAAAATTCATCGTGTATCAGTAATAAATATTTATTATATATTGCAGGAAAACTGCTATCTTATCGCATAAGAAAATACCGAATGTGTGTATACGTGTGTAAGAGAAAAAAACATTTTGTTGATAGTAATAAACGGTATATAACCACGTTACTATTATTGGCTAAAAATATTTGTCGCAGAAAATTTAATAAATATATCAATATATCTTTTCTACGTATACACATATTGCGAAATTGTGTGTCTCTGGTGAATGGACATTTCGTCGACCAACTCTACTATCGTGCTTATCTTCCTGCAACATGCATGCGGATAAATAGTCGCGGCGTCACCGTGACTAGACGCGTTTGCATATGAATCGAACGTCATGCTACATAATAATACGCGAGTCCACAAGAATAGAAATGATACGAGCCCGATAAAAAAATTCTAAGGAAATATAATTTATTATTCTTATATATTACATGCTTTCGAATTTTAATAGAAGTTTCGAATGATTTCATATTCTAATCGCGGCTATATATTATCGCGATGGATAGCTAGAGATAATTACGTAATTATATAATAAATAATATATTTTTCAATCTTTGCACTGACCATATGGTCCATCAGATTCAACATGACATGAATGTATTTTTACTCATTAGTTTCATCTATCTGAATGCCATTACGAATTTTCTGATAAAAAATATCCTTCTCGACCTAGTTTGTGAGAGCTCTATGAATGATAAAATATAATTATTCGTTTGAAAATAATACGAATAAAATATACTGATAAAATTTACTGATATTTCTAAATATTTTACACAGGCGTTAATATGTCAAACTAAATTGATAAATTTGATTTGGCGGAGTTGCTTTATCAACGAATAATCTAGAGGATTATACAAACACAAGAATGGATTCACACTATGAAGAATAAAGTCATTTTATGATATATATTACGTACACTTTATCAATGCCATTCCTATATGAATGCTGCACAAATACATATATGTATAGTACTATACAATCAGCAGGCATTCGTGATTGGAGCCATTTGATATCGAAAACCTTCTGTGAAATAGGATTCTGATACACCATAATTATTCAAAATTTCTTTATCAGGTCTCGTTATGAAGAACGAAAGGAGAAAGAGAGAGAGAGAGAGAGAGAGAAACATGTGACAAATAATAATTATAACTTTTCCGGCGCCGTTTTCTCTCAAATCACATATTTTTACGCAGTAAACTTGTACCCAGGGAACATTGACTGTGATCGAAGATCTACTTACAGTAGAATCAGCGTAAGAATGATTATACGGTTGGCAACGCTGCTATCTGATAACAACGATGTAGTGGGGCTTAACCCATGACGTGGCGTATACGAAGAGGGGATCATAAAGTTACATGGTCAACAAGTTAGATTCCACAGTGTTTATGCAAGTGCGACTCGGTGCAGAAGCTCGTGGAGCGACATCATCGACAGCGGAGATCAACTCATATCTGCCGATAACGGTGTCTCGATAACGCCTGATTCCGTTCTTCCTCCAGAAAGGTCGATTTTTATCCGCGAGAGCGAAGCAAGTGGAGGTATGTTCGAAGCGATCAACGAATTCTGTCCCGCGAACTCGCTTGGAGGACGAGCTCCTCCTCGCCGAGGGATGATTCGACACGACCGGTTCGTTTCAAGGGAAAGTACGTTAGAGGGATCTTATCGATCCACAATGCCACTTCTCGAATTCGTATCTTGTTTGTTCGGTAGAGATATCTCTCGACGATGATGATCTCTCCACTCGCAGGCCAATTGTTTACACTCGAGACGTGTTTGAAATTTCGAATCGGTATTTCATCGCGAAAACATGAAGTTTCGTAAACAAAGTCATCCAACTGCCGGATCGGACAAAGTTTAATTATATTGTGACGAGAGGAGAACATTTCTCGAACTGTACGCGAACAACTGAGATTACGATTGATCCGTGATTCTTCAAAATTATACATTAATCTCTTCTTCGATAAAATACGAAAAATAAAAACATAACTTTTCTCAGAAAATCTTTTGGGAATAAAGTTTTCATTGGTAAAAATCTCTTTGCTCAATCTTTTCCTATACTCTTTGCGTATTAGGAAATTATTCAAAACGCCCAGATGTCCACATTTCAGAGAAAACTGTATTAGTATAATAGTGGCATATTAGCATATTAGTCCTAAAACCTTGAGCCTAACATGGAATACTTGAAACTTCGATTTAGAAATCGAGATTACGTTATTACGATAAAACAGTGCTCGAATAAATATCTCGGAATGATAAATAACAAAAATGGATATTCAATTGATCATCTTGTTAATATCCATAGATGTATCGATTGCGTGTCAAACAAGTTTTGCCCCTTATTATCTGGTACTTAATAAAGTAATTCGCCGAGTCACTTATAGAAACGTCATTAAAACGTTGTATTATATTCCACGAGATCAGTCGAAAAACAGTCTTATTGCGCGCGGTCTGCTATAAAATAACTGAGGTAGTCTCTCTAGCGCTCGTTACGCAATCAGTCTCTACTGACCTCGGCTTGATTATATCAGACAGCTCATTTTTCATAAACGCCATGAAGCGCATGCATGACATTCTGGAATTATATATTGCCAATCGTAATGTGTATATTTATACAATCGCGCTTTAACTTGTTGAGACTGAGACTTGTTACACGTGTCGAGTTATTTAATAAAATTCAAGAGTATTATATAGAGAATCGTAGTAGATAATCTCTCGTAGATAATCGATTACATTCGCTACATTTTACACGAGACAAAATAATAAATGTATTTCAAGTCTTGCTCTTCATGTCGACATAGTCAATAGTCCTAATACTCCTTTTCATTTTAGGCCGATTGTACGAAGATAAAATAGCACGAAACGTCAACGAGACATGGCGAAAGAGAGGCAATTCACGAGAAGCGAAATCGAGCAGAATGACGAGAAGGACACTGTACTGATCATCTTGCACGACAAAGTATACAATGTTTACAACTTCCTCAACGAGCATCCCGGCGGCGAGGAAGTCCTGTTCGATCACAAAGGCAAAGATGGCTCCGAGGACTTTGACGATGTCGGGCATTCGAACGATGCTATGATGCTGATGAAGCAGTACCAGGTTGGCATGCTCGTCGAATCGGATAGGACGAATCAATCGCCGAAGCAGGGCTGGGTGACGGGATACGGCTTGAAAGAGACAGCTCACATGGAGAGATCCGGCATACCCTTCTACTTGCTCATAGGTGGAATCGCGCTCGCAATGACCATAATATTTTATTCTTTTTAAACAATCGTCTTCGTTGGATAATTGTACGCAACGCGAGAATGATGTGAACGTGTGGATAGTGTGATAAAACGATGCACAGAATGTAGGAACATTCTCACATTATTTTAATGCCATTATGTTTTCGAGAATACGTATCTCTAACAATAAGTAATTAATTTTGTTTTGATGGGAGAGGTTTTATTTTGTACACTTGTATTTCTCAAAGCGGTTAATGTTCGAATGATAATTTCAATATACAATATATACAATATTTATAAATGAAGGTATATAATTAATTACTAAAAATATGAAAGGACTATCGATTTTTGTAAAACATTTTTTTATTAAAATTAGAACATATTCGCCAATTTATTGGATTAACTTTAATCATCAAATTAAACATTTCCTTACGTAAATTGCCAAGTTAAAACAAGTTTTATCTGACGTCTTATCGAACTAATTTTTACTGCTGTGTAAGCAAGTTGCTTAAGTTAAAACAGTTTACTTTATATGCAAATCGGACAAATTAAAGAAACAGTCATTATATAACAATGATATGATGAATAAACAATTATATACAATGTCGACGCTGCAATAAAAACGAAAAAACCAAACTGATGGAAAAAAAGAGAGAGAAACAGAAATAGGGAGAGTATGTCAAGAGAATATGAGAATATGGAATGTTCGACTCTCGAAATTGGAGAAAAATATCGGGACATAGCAAAGTATATAATTATAGATATCAGGAAACTTATATACGCACAAATTGTTTTGAAAAATTTCTGAAAACCAAATATATATAAATTCTTTATATGATTTTGAATTTTCTATAAAACTACAAATTTAATATTTGAAGCATTGAAAAAATATCAATTTTAATAAAAAATGTATATATAAAGAGCTAAAGAGATAATTTAGTGACTGTTGAGAAAATATTTGATAACTCGTATCAATTCAATAGATAGCCTTAGAAATCGTCTATGCAGCCTTTTTTAAAGAAATGTGTTATCTATGAATCCAAGATAAGATTATTGCTTTTATCTTAAGTTTATCTAATTAAAATGTATCGACTTTGCTTCGTATTTACTTTGTGGATAACGAAAAATAAGAATTTAATCTATGCGTATCGCATGTTTCGCATTATTTATATCGCATTTTACTTGTTAATGATAAATATCGTTAACATTATCAATTTTCAAATACAATTTTTTTTTTAAACCTAAATTTTTTTAAGCATAAATTTTCGTCACAATATGCTGTTCCACGCCGTATGTTCACTGCTGGGTATTTCTGTGAATTATTGCAAAACGATACGCTAAAAAATGAAATCTGGAAATTTTACAATCCAGAGCGCACATTCTTTTCTATTTGATTATCCACAAGGGAAGATACGAATAAATGAATTGCGCGCAACAATGATAAATAACTAATTGAGAAAGTTAAAAATATTAATGAAGAAGGAGAAAACCACGAGTCAGCTAGTGTTAACGGAAGCGTAAGAATTTAACAACACAACATCTGAAATTAAGGAAAAACGAAAAACACGAGATGATCAATAGAATTCATTCGAGAGTAAATGATACCTTTGCAAGTTGATGAACAAACATCATCCTGCCGAATTGTACTATGTGAAGTAGTAATTTTGATATTTACCTACACATACATTATATCCGAGAAGTATTGATTTTATTTATAAAGACCTTGCATGAGAGCTACTATTCAAACAAGAGTTTTTACCGTGAATCGCCGATAATTTTTATACTAACATCAATGCTAATCGTAACATTGGACGGTCTATTTATTCCTGGACGTATCGAAAATTTACGGGTCCATCAGTCCATCGTGTTTCGGACAAATGATAGAAAGTGGTCGCCACGTTCGACTTGTCCAGTCAACGTCGTCGCATGCGCTGGAACTCGCATGGGAATAGAAGGCGTGAATAAGAAGGGGAAGTTACCGCGATGACATGTGTGGAAAACCGCATATCCTTCCTGTCAACCGTCGGCCATCTGCTTTCCATATCAACTTCCGGCGCCAGTGAAAACTTTGTAATGTACCCAATCCCCCCCGGCTTCTCTCTGGGTCGCGTCGAGTTCTTCAACTCTCATAACTCTCTCTCTCTCTTTTCTCATCCCTTTCATTTCTCTCCGCGAACCCTTTGATGCTGCGCAAAGAGTGACACTCTTCTCGCATGATGAAAGCTTTGCGCGAAACACTGCATCATCGCGTGAAAACCGCGACGTTGGCATTGTCTTGTTATCTTGGTTGTGGCGTTGCGGCGCTTTGGGTATGAGAGCGTCGGATAAGCAACGCAAGCACTGTTACGAGAACAACCATACGCTAATTAAACGAGAGTAAGATCGCGTGTCCGATTTAAATAATCAAATTATCCCGTCCATCTTCAAACAATAATGAATCACACAACGTTTTCATCGTGTATCCTTAATCCAGCCAATTTGAAACGCCGATACGCCTTCTCCTTCTCGACGGCGGTAAATGATCGTTTACATTTAGAAGCCGGTGCAGAAATGCGATTTTTTTCTTATTTGCCGACCTCTCGACGCGGCTGCCGCTCTCTCTCTCTCTCTCTCTCTCTCTCTCTGCGAGAAAGAGGAAACTCGATACGATGCCTTTGAAAAAGGGATTCATGATTCCGCCGCTCTCGAACCGTTCCTTTTTCAAACGTAACTTTGAGAAAACACCCGATGCGTGTCCCAACGAGCGTAAATTTTTCAAAGGACCTGATGTGTTTGCCACTTTAAGAAACCTTACCACCGCGGTAACATACGTGACTTAAGTGAATTTCGCCCTTCGAAAGTAAAAATCTCTCCACCCTTTCATTTATTCTATCGCAGTTTCCGCGATCGTTCGACCGGCGAGTCGTTAAGTCGCCGCGCAGATTGACAGGTAGTCGACAGCTGATGCGAATAAATGACACCGCGAAACGCTCTCTGCGCTGGATGAGAAAAGCGCGAGAACACCGAGTGTTGCAAATCACCTGATCGTTTCGCCAATAGCGGAAAGAACAGAGACGAGAGTAAGAAATACGCAAAAAAAGTAAGCGGGATGATGAGGGGAGGGGGATGAGGAAAATTCTCAAATGGACCTAACGAGTTCTCGTCAGTTTCTCGGTTGCTTCTTGCCGCATTCCCAACGGCCATCCCCCTGTTTTACCCTTGCACTTGTTCCTTTCTTCCTTTCCCGGTGTGGCTCGAAAAGCAGCAATTTTTCCAATCTTTCTTTGATAAAGCGCTTTAACAGAGCATCGTAACAAGATGCTATTTTCCTCGTTGGTGACGAGGAAAATAAACTGAGGAGATGTCGGTGATAACAGGTGCATATACAGGATGGAGAAAGAGAGAAGAAGAAGAAACAAAGTACTCGGGCGCGCTCGGAATCGTCTTAAAACGTTATCCCCGCGTCGGAGATACAATAAATATTCTAGTAAACTCGTATGTGTGCCTACACGCATACGCATATACATGTCGCACAGTCGAGTCGTCCCGTCGCGATCTCGAGGACGACGATATTTCATGCGTGCGAGATGAGCGCGCGGCACGCATACGAATTTATGCGCTCAGCATTCCCGCGCCCTAAAATTGTTTTTCTCTCTCTCTCTTTCTCTTGTTTGCGAAGAGAGTTTCGCGGTTTAACATATGGTACGTGTACATCTCATATGCACATAAGAAGCACGCGAGAATCCGCCGCTGGTCCGCGATAGCGAAGAAGATGAATACGATAAAAACTTAATTGCCCGGGGAGGAATAAATAAAAGCGAAGGAGAAAAAGGGATAGCCTATCGTTCCTTCGCATGGTGCACCGTTCGCAATATCGCGAGATTAATGAGGCGGTAGAAAATTTATCGATATCCCGACCGCGTTCTCGCACCGTCGAAAAATTAGCGAATGACGTTCCACGATCGATCCGCGCTCGCGGCTCTGTTCGCTTCTGCTTGCGAGTTTTCTCAGGATATAATCGCGATGCACGCGCTGACGGAGCCGACTTGTAAGAGAAGCGGCGTTCGCTGCGAGCGAAATTGTCGGCGCGCAGGCAGATTACGAGAACCGTGTGTTTGCGAAGGAGCCCCAGCCAGCGAGACAATACACGTGGAAAACAGCGGGCGTCTCATCGCCCGAGGTAATGCTGGCAAAACTCCGAAATTTCGTTCCTGCCGTGTGGAAACTCCGTTTCGTAAAATTAGCAATATCGTTCTTGGATGGTAGTGGTGGAGGTACTATTCCCCTAGAAAATTCTTACACGCTTCATTTTTATTTTAACGCAGAGACTACCTAAAGATTGCCACTTTTCCGCGGAGTTCTCGGTAGGAAACCGAAACAGAAAATACATATTTCCGGACAGGGATTATTTTTCTTATTTTGTTAAGAAGAATAATGTAATATGTATTGTGTAAGAGAGAAGGGTAAGTTAAGCAATGGGAAGGAAATTCTAATAATATGTTTAATGTTATTATCATTATATTATTTCGCTCGTATATTTTATTCTGTAATAATATAATATTTATAGAATTCAATATTATATTATTTCGCTCGTATATTTTATTCTGTAATAATATATTTATAGAATATAATATTTTCAGCGAGAGAAAATAATATCTTTATATAATTAGGAAAAACATTTATACATATGAATATATGTATCTCTTCTCTCATTTTCTACGTTCTCATGTATCTTTTAAGATTCTCTCTCCGGGAAAAAATTAATATCGAGAACACAGCCATCTTTGTTAAGGAAAGACTACAGATTGATCAAGGAGTTCTTGATCGACGGAATCGCACGATATCTGGCGTACTCTGGTTGAGCCAACGATTACAAAATGATATCCGTTTGCATCGCAGTGAGACATGCGCGCGAGGATATACCAAACGCACGTGGAAAACAGCACGTTCGAGCGAGAATATAAGGGAGGGGGTGCGTCAACGCTCGGGGTTATGCGGACGAAACATCGATCCGCGGAAAATTAAGGCACGACCGTTAGAGCGGCGGAGTACTTATAAAGTTTTCGCAGAACTAGTGGGTAAGATGAGAAACAGGGGGGAAGAAGAGGGGGCGGTGAGAGGTCGAATAATGGGTGCAGCAATCGCGACGGCTGTGTACGCAGTTTCTCGAGGGTGTTTTAACGAACTCCAGACGGCGTCATCGCGAACGACGAGGAACGGAGAAAAACGAGTGTTTCACGAGCGTTGCGGCTGCGAGACCAAATTGTGTCGAGAGGATCGATCGGAGGATCGATGCATTTTCCTCTTTCTTTTGAAGATTTTCTATAAGTAATCTCTTCTTTAAAAATTCTACAAATACATAGAGAAAGATTCTAAATTGTTTCAATTATTCCAGGTCGTATTGTGGATAAACCGAGAAGAATTTATCGCTTTCCATACTTTACTATAACATAATTTAGAAACATTTCAACATGTAAAAGCTGAAATCTTAAAAACGTTGATAATTATTGTGAGATAATTATTATGACGAATGAACAAAATCAAAATATTTATTCATAGCATTTTCATATTTAAAGAGATTTATAGTATATTTTTTAAAAATATCATATTATTTCCGCATTACGTAAAATGTCTGAATTTCTTCGAGTATTAGTGTGTCTCGACCTTTCTTAATTTAATTAAAAGAGAGCAGTTTGTTTTCATGAGTATGCAGTGTACTTACTTTGAAATATTTTATGATCTTTTTCCTCTCTTTTCTACATAAAAATACAAATTAAAGTATATATTTTAGTTTGTAAAACACATTAAGATGTTCCGAAATTACTTTATGCCTATTATATCTATCTTGAATGTCTCGCGACCAATTCGCACTCACGACGATGATCAAAGTGAGCATCGGTCACGTGGCGGTGGCAGAGTCCGTCCGTCTCAGAAAAGTCCAAGTTCTTCTCGCGGGCAGTTTAATATCGCTAAAAGCTTTTTAATAAACAGTCTTAGAGTCCCGCGACGAGTGCAGGCCGAAATACGTGCGCGTCGCACACGTATACGCACGTTGGGCGAATCACCTCTATACGAGATTCCCGGGGAGAACAGAAGATTGGTACGTTTTGGTTGAAGAAAGGAGTGGAGAAAAGAACGGCGAGAATAAAGTGGCGCAGGATCGAGGAAGTATCGCGGATATATTCGCCTTTCGTAACGCGGCAGACGCGATATATGAAAATGTAGTCCCGGAGTGGCGGAGAAAGACGGGCGAAAAAAAAGGACATTCTCGGGAGAGTAGGAAAGGGGAGGGGGGGAGGGGGAGAACTGTTTATTTTACGGAGTGGAGCTAAGACGTACGATATTGTCCCCGACAAAGTGGCCGGGTTCTATTTTCGACTCCCTCTCCTCCCTCCCTCCCCACCTTCGACTCTCTCCCTCTCTCTTTCCTTTTTTTTTTGCTCGTACACCCTTTTCGCTGTGCGTTTTCCACGAACAGCGTAAATTTCCGCCCAAGAAAAGTACTCGCAAGCACTCGTTCGCTTATTTTTCTCTATCCCAACCTCCTCTCGCCAAGTCAGGCACGAAAATCTTATTAAGGAGATAACTCGATAATCGTGTCGTACCTCTCGAAAAACAGTGATACCGATTTAATCATCGTGATTGAAAAGTAAAAAAAAATGGCGCTT